TTTTGTTATACACCTTTGTTGAGAGTGATTTTTACTATATGTTTTATAACCTGTTTTACCTCATTCTGAAACATTTGTAGGGAAACAACAAGTGTAAGCATGTAGTCTGTCCCGAGGGTGAGTATTGTGATTCAAATTTCTTTTAAAGAACTTGTTATATTAACCTCTCCCCCACGCTTGAAAAGTGGGGGTTATTTTAGTGATCGGGATGTCTGATTTCTAGAGGTTATGTGAACACTGAGCACACTAAAAGTCCCCTCCCCGCCTCCAGTATGATTATAGTGGCAAAGTCCATGTTTTGCTCTGGGAGACCTGAAATAAGTGTCAGATCAAAAAGCAATATAAGGGGTGCATAGAGGCATCATGTAATAAAGAACCTTTGAAAGTATCATTAAATTTTATTCAGTGGTGTAGGAGGAGTTAAGGGTAAGAGATGGGTACCCTTCAATAAGAATGAAATTAAATGAGACTTTCACAGAGACTTTCACAGAATCTTTGTTTCATACTGTCATTATGCACCTATTTTTGTGTACTTTTTGATGGGACACATATATCGTTATCTATTTACAGTGCTAAATATGTCTGTCCTCTGTTCAGAGAAATTATAATTTTATTTTTCAGATTTTTACTGCTGTGATTATGGAAGAGGGTGCTGCAAGCAATATTCTTCTTACCGTACATATGAACAGTGGTGTGAGTATAAACACGTGGTTTAAAACCCATTGTTGAAGGTTTATTTTAGTAACAGTTTTATAACAAAAAAGGACATCAATGAAGACGTAAGATACATCTAGGAAAAATCGGTACAATGGGACAGAAACCATGGATCTAAATTTAACAGAAAGCAGTTATTGCTAAACATCTGTATATATTACCATAAAAAGAATTAATCTAAATCATTATGCACATTGGTTAATAAATAATTATTCACCAAACTTCAAAAAATATTCATGCAAACTAAATGTGAAAATACTTTAGCAATTACAGGTTCATATGTGTATTTCTTAGTTTCTGCAGTTATATTTTTCATTACCATGACTATATTTTTTTCCCAGGGTTTTGGGCGATAATACTAGTTGGATGCTTGATGTTTGGAGCTGGACTTTATGGCATCATAAAGTGTAAAAGATTGTATTTTTACAGAATTTCTTATAGACAGATCTAGAATCTGCAGAACTCGGCAACTATTTATTATTAAGTTCAATAATGGCTTAAATAATTTATAAATTAATTTGGTCAATGCATTTTTGTGAATAAAACTATCACTTTATATGATACTTGTGTAAATGGTAAAGCGGTGACAGATATATACATGTATCAAATTCAACAGGGTTAAAAGTTATTAAAACCAAGACTTTAAAATCAAATTTTTATTTTTATAAGAATACATGTGAATTCCTCATACTTTTATTATATGTTTCATTTCACAGTTTAATGTTTTGAGTGCTTTATTCCAGTCACTGTTTTTAAATCATTTTCAAATTAATGCGCATGTTCACCAAAATAAGATTCATGTTCACCGATTTGTATTCTTTATAGATATACAGTATATTTTTATACAATGTAGATATTTTTACAGATCGATCACTGTTTATAATCTTTTTAAAATAAATATATAGACACAGTCGGTCCTTATTTGAAAATGCAGTAGTTCCCAGCTGACTTATAAAAAGGGCCTTTATCAGGTCGGAGAGAATACTCGAAATCGGGTATTATCCGTGAAATCGCGTATAATACTTGATATTAGGGTATCGTTGAATCCCCGAAATCGGGTATTCCGTGCAACTTTCTATAAAAACTAAAGAATAAAGCAACGGCGCATTATGCCAGTAACTGTTACTTGTACATCAGTATCTTGTGGATTTATTTTTATTAAACCTAATTCATAAGGTTCTCAAATAACTTTAAAATCACACAACAAACACTGCTGGGGTAACAAAGAGGACACAACGGCGTTATTATTTTTCAATATAATTTCTAAAAACAAATAACTACACTTCGTTTGTCTTTATTTCCCATTAAAGTATTCCATATACTTAATTTTCCAATTTGTGCACTATTCACAAAACGTGAAATTTTAAAGAAATTAAACGACTAACGCCGTGTTATGTATTTTTACTGAAAAATGTATGGCGCCCCTTTTTCTCGTGAAATATAAATTACTCCTAACAGTTAGAGAGTACAAAATAAGCGAGTCATAATTGTATATCTCTGCCATTATAGAATACCAACGTTATTATAAAGAAAAAAATAAAATAAGATGAAATAAATGCCCACGGGAAAACAGTTTGAAAATAGCTAATTGAAGCGGAGTATCTCTTTTTATGTCAATTTAGCATGAAATGTTTAATTCAAAGACACCGTAAATTTTTTGGTTGCATTTTAATCGATAAAAGATATACTATTTTACCTTTATTTTATGCATTTTGTGAAAATTGAGAGCGAGAAGTCATATGAACAGGATTTTCGTTTTTTTTTTTGAAAGGGGGGGGGTATCTTTTCATGAAGTTAAAATACATTGAATTTCTCAATATAGATGAGGTACAGTCATATTGATATATGAATAACATAGTCAAGTTTTCACATTTCTTATAGTTTTTACGTTTATGAACATGTTAATGAACAATCTGAAATAATGGAGTGTTCAATTGCCTTGGAAACTCTTGTCTTACTTTTTGGGAATATAATTCTTCATCGGACATTAAAATTACATAAAAATCGTAGCCATTTCCTTTCTTTATTATAGGCGTCGGAACCGGGGGAGGGGGGCTAGGGCTTAGCCCCCCCCCCCACTTTTTTCCCAGTATGTACTTAGTATATACATTGAACCTTGTAACATAGGTAAAGCCCCCCCCCCCCCTTTCCACAGACACCTCGCAGTATAGGCTAAAAATGGGTAAAGTTTTGGTGTTTGGAGAAAAATTTAGGTACTAAAAATTGAACCTACCCCCCCCCCCCCCCCACTCTTCCTTACGATTAAAAATATATGACCGAGTTTAACCGACCGTGACATTCAAAGAGAGGTCTCTTAGACACATGTATAACATAGTCGAGGTTGTTTTTTCAGAGGCCGGTGGTCAAGAAGCCTTTAGGCCCCCACCCCCCCCCCCTTTTGAAGTCGCCAGGAAATGGTAAAATATTGATGACTTAGCGAAATTAAACGATCAACAGTTATGCTCTCCCATAAATTGTATTCCTGAAACTATCACTGTCTCTGCTAAATTTTGAAGACATATTCTGCAAATATGTTTGAATGATAAATAAAAAAAGAAAAGATTTTCAAAAAAAGAGAAAGAGGGTTCTTTTAGCCGAAATTTTAGACATTTTTATCATTACATTATTTATACATTCAAAAATAAATTTGATTTTATGCACAAGATGAATGTGAAAGTAATTAATGACGCATAATTAGATAGAATAGACAATCTCTTGTTTATACATGGCATCATATCTGGTGTGTGAAATGTGTTTCCGTATAATTTGATTTATTTACAAATTGTTCATGTTTGTCGTGTTGATGTGGAATTATTATAAATTCCCGAATTATGATACTTTACAATTCTTTTGTGTTGGGAATGAACCTTAGGAAGATGCATATACTTTCAACATAAGGTAAAATATAAAGCAAATCGAACGCCTTTTTGTGTGCAGATCATGAAATGTACTGAGCTCCACGGGTATTTGTTAGCGCATTAATCTTGAAGCCCAAATTCTTACTTGGCTAGTGATATCTTTAGAAAACATGTGTATCTAGATGAAAGTTAACTCGGCAACATGCGCCATCCCATTCTTTAAGTTTTATTAGGTGTTTACACCTCCTATACCCGATTTCGCGGATTCAACATACCCTAATATCGCGTATTATACGCGATTTCACGGATAATACCCGATTTCGAGTATTCTCTGACCTGTTTATTATGTATGCATGTGACAGGATACAATGTACTCACATGTACATAATAATCCTTAAATACAGCGAAAATGGGCAGCTCTTATGTCTGTGTATCTTATTCATATTTTACCTGCATGAGCAAATACAGCTAGTACAGGTAGGATATTTTTGTTATTGGTACATCTTATAATTAGAATATTATACGAGATTTTTTTTGTGTAAAGGTAGCTTGTGTTGAAATGTTGTAAAACTACATGAACTCCATATTATAAACATAATACCCTACACAATACAATACATATACCGGTATAATTAAACTTTTTAATTAAGTGGTGTAAATGCTAAAAGCAAAGGCGTCAGAAGCAAATTGAAACGGGCTAATTAAATGGGGACTTGTATGCACCCCCCCCCCCAAATAAGTTCCAACACAGTAACACACTTTAGTTAAGTTTGATGTATATCAGTATTAAAAAGGTTTTGCTTTTATTAAATGTAGATATGTTAACTTTTAAGCTGCATGGGTAAATTGTTTACATTTATCCACGCTAAACAACTTAAAAACATTCTGAAGAATATGATATACATGTACAAAACGAAAATCGAGGGAAGTTTTACTTGAAATACAGTGTATACCATAGATGATATTTTGATTATTTTCATCTTACAATCATTAATAAATCCATTTGCTGAAAAAGAATATTTTAAAGCTGCATTTAACAATGTATGAAGATTAGGATAATGGCAAAAACTCATTCAAATTGGTATTGCTAGAAAATAATGTGATAATGATTTTTTTTTTCAAAGTACTTTGAAAGTTAATCTAGAATAGCTGTGTATGATATGGTTACTAAATATTTTCCATGCAGAATAGGGGTAAGACAGGAGAAAATTTATCACCATTTTTATTTGCTCTATTCCTAAATGGTTTAAACCCTATTCTAATAATACACAATAATATTGGAGTTTCAGCAATATGATATGATATTGAATAAAAGATTGGTATTCTGTTAAAATTGGTTATTTTATCTGCATATAGTTTTATCCTCAGAATCATCTGAAAATTTATAAATGAGCATTTTTTTTTTTTTTGCATTGTACTGTGAAAATGGAAATTTGAAGTTCATATAATCTTTTTTTTTCAAAGGGAAGTACACCATAGAATGTTTTTATTACAATAAAAATTGAAATTGTCAAACATTTCGTATAGCTTAAATATTATGTTATATTTTCATCAGCTGGCTCATTAATTACGACAAAGCAAAATTCTATTAAAAGAGAATATGCTATGCATGTTTTTTTTTTAAAGATAAGTACACCTTTCTTTCGATGATTAAAATGCGCTCCTCTTTCAACTGACCTTTTTAAAAATACATTCCTATGAAGCAGAATATATTCAAAAATTTCTACTTGAGAAAAGGAAAACCATTGCTCTTTCCTTCAACTCGACATTTAGATAAATATTATCAATTAACAACAGTTACGACTCGATGTAACCTAGTGAACGTAAAAAAGACACCGTAGAGACTGCCCCTCATGTTTCATATTTGGAAGGTTTTTTTTCTTCAAACTATAGACGACAAGGGTCAACTAACATCTAGATTATCTTTAAAAATTCAGCTTTTCCAATCGAGCTAGATCAATCACAGATTTGTTGTTGTTGTTTTTTTTTTTAGCCACATCGTTTTAGTCGGTATTTTGTAAATTTAATGGTCGTTATAACGACCTCGTTGGCAAATGTGCCTATTATTAGATCAAGGCATTTTGGATGATTTATTTCATGCCAATTACTAAACCTTTTATTTTTTAAAATGAATTTTACTATGGGATGTTCTGACTACCTAATCAAAACGTAGGATGTGACCGCTCAACGGGGATGTTTACTGTCTATAGGCACCTGATCCCACCTCTAGAGCTTTCAAAAGTCCGAGCCCTCTTGACAAATGTGTATTGTGAAGTATGGGATTATGGTAATATTGAGATTATTAAAAGAGAATACATCTAAATTCTGTAAAATTTCATTTCATTTGAAACCAAATTCATGTACTCCCAAGTTTATTATTTATGGTGAAATAGGGTGAGTACCTTTAACTGACAGTTGTATATTTTATGAATTTTACTTATAGAAACTTTAACTATGTGTAGTTGTACTTCCTAATTGTTTCCGCGTCTTTTGCAGGCCTCAAAGTGCAGACCAAATATTGTTTGTCCAGGTAAGATTTCTATACGGTACATGTATATTTTATTTAAAAATGTAAAATAATATATTTTTAAGAAAATATTCCTTTATATCCATAACAAGACGCAAACAAACGTTTGATATCGTACTGAAACTGACAATTATTTCAGATCAACATTGCTGTCATGGAGGAAGAAGATGTTGCAATCCCAAGCTGTACCACATATGGTGTAAGTAAATGTATTGTTGCCAAAGGATGCTAAAAGATTCAAAGTTATGATAAATCGCATTCTTGTTTATCAATGTTATTAATTCTTGTGGACATTTTCTGTTATTCATATCAGGGTTTTGGTTTGGCGTGGTGGTGGCGTTGTTCCTGACATTGATTTGTATAATAGCATGTCAAAGGCGGAGACAAATGAGGAGGGAATATACCCGTATTGATTCCCCTGTATACGGAGGGACCGCATCGCCCCCAGGTCACTCTCTGTATCC